TCCTCGAGGATTTTGATGGCTTCCTGTCTTACATTGAGGTCTTTCATCCATTTTGAGTTTATTTTTGTGTCTGGTGTAAGAAAGTGGTCCAGGTTCATTTTTCTGCATGTTGCTGTCCAGTTTTCCCAGCACCACTTGCTGAAGAGACTGTCTTTATTCCATTGGCTATTCTTTCCTGCTTTGTCAAAGACTAGTTGGCCATACGTTTGTGGGTCCATTTCTGGGTTCTCTATTCTGTTCCGTTGATCCGAGTGTCTGTTTTTGTGCCAGTACCATACTGTCTTGATGATTACAGCTTTGTAATACATCTTGAAGTCCAGGATTGTGATACTTCCAGCTTTGTTTTTCTTTTTCAGGATTGCTTTGACTATTCAGGGTCTTTTGTGGTTCTGTACAAATTTCAGGACTGTTTGTTCTAGCTCGGTGAAGAATGCTGGTGTTATTTTGATAGGGATTGCATTGAATATGTAGATTGCTTTGGATAGTATCGATTTTAAACAATTTTAACATTTTAACAATATTTGTTCTTCCAATCCATGAGCATGGAGTATTTTCCCATTTTTTTGTTTCTTCTTTGATTTCTTTCATAAGCTTTCTACAGTTTTCAGTGTCTGGATTTTTCACCTCTTTGGTTAGGTTTATTCCTAGGTATTTTATGGTTTTTGGGACAATTGTAAATGGGATCAGTTTCTTGATTTCTCTTTCTATTGCTTCGTTATTGGTGTATAGAAATGCAACTGATTTCTGTGCATTGATTTTATATCCTGCAACTTTGCTGAATTCATGGATCAGTTCTAGCAGTTTTTTGGTGGAATCTTTTGGGTTTTCCATATAGAGTATCATGTCATCTGCAGAGAGTGAAAGTTTGACCTCCTCCTTGTCGATTTGGATGCATTTTATTCCTTAGTGTTGTCTGACTGCTGAGGCTAGGACTTACAATACTATGGTGAATAGTAATTCTCTTGCCCATTTTTAATTGTATTTTTTTATTGTTGAGTTTCAAGAGTTCTTTATATTTTGTAGATAAGAATGCATTGTCAGATACGTGATTTGCAAATATTTTCTCCTAGTTTGTGGGTTGTCTTTTTCATTCTCCTGACAGTGTCTTTTGCAGAGCAAATGCTTTTAATTTGGACGAAGTCCAGTTTATCAATTTTTCTTTTATATGTTATGTTTTTGGTGTTGTATCTCAGGACTCTTTACCTAACCCAAAAATTTTCTCCTGATTTTTCTCTTATGTTTTCTTCTCCAAGTTTTATGTTTTACATTTAGATCTCTGATGCTTTTTGAGTTAATTTTTTGTATGAGATGCGAACTAAGTTTCCTTTTTTTTTTTTTTGTATATGGACATCTAGTTGTCTTAGCACTATTTGTTGAAAATGGAATTATTTCTCCATGGAATTGACTTTGCACCTCTGTCAAAAGTCAGGTTAGTGTTTCCCAAAGTTCAGAGATGATTGGGGGTGGGGTGTGACTTTAAAGGATAGCACAAGGGAGACTTTTGTAATGATAAAATGGTTATGTATCTTGATTGTGCTGGTGGTTATGCAAATCTACAGATGTGAGACAATGATATAGAGCTAAACATACATATTACACCAATATCAATATGGTTTTGTACTATAATTATGTAAGATGCAGCCATAGAGGGGAGAGACTGAGTGAAAGGTACATGAGACCTCTCTGTACTGTCTTTGCAAATTCCTGTGAACCCATAATTATTTAATTATCTCATAATTACTATAACTACTGTAATTACTTCAAAATAAAGAGTTAAAAAATCACTTGACCATATTTGTGTGAGTCTAGTTCAGAATTCTCTAGTCTATCCCACTGATCTATTTGGCTGCCCTTTGCCCTTAACACATTCTTTATTACTGCAGTTTGTAAGTCTTGAAACTTTATTCATTTTCAAAATGGTTTTATCACTTGTCAAAATGGTATTTTGCACTTCTGTATAGATTTTAGAATTAGCTTGTCAATTTCTACAGCAAGTCTGCTATAATTTTGATTGGGATTGCTTTCAATTTGCAGATCAATATTTAGCAGTACTGAATCCTCTAATATCTTTCTTTCATTTCTAATTTTCACTTTTAGCTGTCAGTTTAAAATTTCTCTTCGTCCTCTGTAGCTAAAGGTGACATGGCAGAGTCCTAGCAAGCATGGAACACATGCCTCCCTCTCCTGTTCAGTTATGTGGAACAGAAAATGTGCAGCCTAACAGGATCTGTTAAAACTCCAGGCTATGTGGCAAAGTTATTTCTGCCTAATACAACGTTCCATATTGGTATTAAAAAAAAATCCAAGTATTACCATAGCAGTTGTCTCAAGAAGCAAAATATATTGGCAATTTCTTGTTTTGTGTCCTATAATTTCTAATTTTAGAAACATATTTTTGCAACTCCTAAAAGTGGTTTACAAGTTTTAGGAGGGAAAGGCATAGATGGATTTAGGTTACCCCCCCCCCCAAC